GCTATGCTTTGGACATTATTTTGGCTTCAAAAGGAGGTGTTTGTGCTTTAATTCATTCTCATTGTTGTGTATATATTTCAGATTATTCAGTTAACATTTCTCATACGGTACATAGGATGGAAGAAATGGTACAAAACAATCCCATTATGGAATATGAAAAGCTGAATTTTGGAAGCTTGTGGGATGCATTATGGTCATGGTTACCAGATGGTTCTTGGATACGTAATATTATTTACTGTATAATAATAATCATTATTGTAGGAATTATATTTTGTTGCTGTATGCAATGTATGCCTTTCATTGTTTCTATATGTAAAAATTGTGACTTTAGGGTTAAACCTCGATTCCGGACTAAGGATAACAAGGATCTGAATGTTATATCAATAGGATCGGACAAACCCCCTCCTATCTTACCAATGGACGGTCTACAGGATACATCATTGATATATCTGGACTAACGTTCATTACAAAACAAAAAAGAAGGAGATGTGGAGATTAACCAAAGCTACTTCATGTTTAATTAGTATTTTGACTTTGTGTATTGTGTACGTGCAGACTGCCCTGGCAGTTGGAACACGTACGAAGTACAAATAAATGTTATCTGTGTCTGTGCCTAGCAAATCGCTAACCAGAAGGTTGTTATTTCCTCCTTGAGATGGAAAGACAATGAGGTCTATGTGTAAAATTTTCAATAAAAGAGAGCTTATGAATCTACTCGAGGTTCTCACTCTTGCAGACAGCCCTGTGTCTTGTGTTTCATGGGAACCGGATCACTACAAGAAGCTAGTAAAGAAACATATTCAGAAGCTAGTGGCAACGGGAGACTTGGAAAATCTTGAATGATATACATATGTAAAAATGTTTGATCCTACAAAATGCCTGATCTGCTGAAAAGCACTGATTTGGGCAACCTACATCTCTGCAGTGGATTCCTTAATAAGGCTATTGGAAGATGTGCATTGCAGTCTTGAAGTGATTTCCGATGACGTTTGTTCTTAGTAATCACACAGTCATTCATAAAATTGATCCAGACAGTCTTATCTTTCAGAATAACAGAATAACAAAGTTGGAAAGGACCTTGGAGGTCTTCTAGTTCACCCCCCTGCTCAGGCAAGAAACCCTAGACCATTTCAAACAAATGGTTGTCCAATCTCTTCTTAAAAACCTCCAGTGTTGGAGCACCCACAAGTTCAAGAGGCATGTCGTTCCACTGATTAATTATTCTAACTGTCTTGCTTCTCTCCTTGGTTAGTTTCCTTGATTAGTTTCC